TGAGAATTTCAAGTGGCAGGTAGCATTGGGTCGATCTTCCCGCCCCCAATTCTCCATCTCGTGCAACTCATTGGCATGCAAGATTGCACACCCACGCGAATATTAAGAAGCATCACTGCGAAATGGTACAAGGGATAAGGAAGATCGAGGAGTCGCTGCGTATTACGCGCGGAAATAGGCACGGAGTGTACGCGGGCTCGAGCGAGTCCTTGTGCTGGGGATTGGGAGAGGAGCTAACCGGAAGACACAGATACGCTCGCGTAGATTTGATTTATATGTTAATCGACAGCCAGCTGTCGTATTTCGTTTTCATCACCAAATGCGCAGCTCGAATAGCTTTCTATTTACACGGACGCTCACTTGTTTTCTCGATAGTTACAGACAATTGCAAAGTCAACTTTTTTTTGTTCACGATCTATTACTCATAAGTATTCTCATGTAATTTTCTCTATGGATATGTATATTTTTGCTTCTAGCATCAGCTTTACATCTCTACGTCATATGCCCACTTTTTTTTTTTGCTTAATATTGCCCTCGTTATCCTTTGAATTTCAAAATCTTGGTTTGACAAATTTCTTCATTAAATTTTGACCATTAAATAATCTTGAAAAATTTTACATAAATATTATTAATGTAGTATGAAAAACGTCAAATTGCTTCATTTTCATATTAAACTATTAAAAATTCCTTGTACATATTTAAACGTATTCTTTAAATTTATCTACAATGTGTAATCATTAAAATGTTAGCCTTATTGGTACAATAAATATTGTTATCGTACAATTTAATGTGCTATTATAACAAATTCATCATTTCTTTCTCCATAATAAAATCATATCTTAAATAATTATAAAGATTATAAAGCAGATTAGCATGTTTAATCGATACCTCTAATGCAATACATACAAATTCTTTTATAATTGACAAACGAAAAGTTTAATGCAATAGAAGAGAAATGTATAAATGATTTTGGACGTCTTGAAAATAGTTGTTTAAAAAAATGCGATGGGACAAGTAGTCGTCTCAAGTATTCAATAATATCGCTTGGGCTGAATTTACGAGAATAGAACTTTTGGTCGCTCTGAAATCGGCCAATTTCCAAATGCAATGATTATTCGGTGATAAATATATGTAGTCATTCTGAGAAATAAAATTCAATTGATTATTGGAGACGAAGAGTCGTAGTACACGTTTTCACTCGACAGACTATCCTACGATTCTTCTTCTCTCAACCTATTATTTTCCTTATTCTTTTCGAAACTCAAGGAGTGTCGCAAGGAGCAGGGCTTTGGACAGTTGAACATCCCGAACATCGCCGAGAGGCCAAAGAATCAGGCGATGAGAAAATAAAAGTATTTCGGACTCGGTATACTACATATTTTAATCCACAAAACATATGAAAATATTGATCAAAATCGTATTTTCCTTCTATTTAAATTAAAATCAAAATATTTCTTCATTATATAAACAATAATTATTAAATATTTAGTTATATAAATACATTTGAATTTCAAAGATTCTTTTACTAAGATCCATTTACAGAGTATTATTAAATAATTTATATATATACATACATTATTTAACTCTATATATATATATATATATATATATATATATATATATATACGCACACACACACACACATATATATATATATAAATATTATAAATTTAGTAATACGTTTAATTTAATATCTTTAATATTATTAATATCTTTCAATATCAATAAACTTTTTCATTAATAGAAATATGTTCTAAGCAATATAAAATTAATTGAATGTATAAAAAAATATCATATCTTTATATTTTTTTCTTTATAAATAGTATATTTATCAATTATCAGTACATTGTATTTCACATTGAATGTTTTATATCCTTCGAAAGCTTTTATATTTGTCGATGAATCATTTATTTCAATAAAATCATTATGAAAATATATTTATTACGATTAAAATGAGTTTTGTTTATTCAACTATTTAATATACTAAATTTTAAATAAAAACAAATTAAGTTAAATTAATTAATTTTCATATATTGCAGCTTATTAAAAAAGAATAATTTGCATATATACTTATTATGCAAGTATCATTTAGTCACCAACAAGATTGAAGTAAATTATTTTCCTATAAAACCAATTATTTAAAAAATACTTTTTGAATTTATTACAATTGTGTCAATAATATTAATAAAAAAAAAAAAAAAAAAAAAAAAAAAAAAAAAAAAAAAAAAAAAAAAAAAAATGAAATTAATGTTGTCTGAGTTGTTTTATAAACCATTATTTCTGAATGGCATTAAAATAAACATATTTAATGACATAAATATATTTTAAAACTACGAGCATTATTAAAATACCATAAATTTTCAGTATTTAAAAATGTACTAATGTAGATACAAATGTGTTTCTATATTTCACATCATAATTATAGATAAGTTATAGCTACAAAATTATTAATGTTTGAAATCTATCTTGCATTGATTGAATTTTTCTATCTATCAATATAAAAACATTTTAATTATTTATAGATAGTGTTTAAGGCTTAAAAACAAGATACAAACTCAATATAATTTAATTGCTAATTAAGCGATCCTATCGATTAAACATTCTTGAGGTTGAGGCTATGCAATTGCAAAACTCGTTTAAGTTCCATCGGCCCGTCTCTTCTAAACGTGCCATTACGATAGCTTGAACTTTCAAGCAAAGTTCATTTAAAATAAAGGGGGACCATTTTTTCCAATTCTCAAACTATTTTAATTAAATAATTTGCAGTATAAATGTTTGTAAAGAAGCATTCTATATTTTCATTATTATCATTTGCAGGTGCGAAGCAATACAATCAATCTATTTTCATAGTCTATTACGAATTGATAATCCGATAATGAAGATTTTTATGATAGCTTCAACGTAATTGATTATTATACGATGCGTATTAACTTCGTAGTTGTCGATTTACACTGCAAATATTTCTAATTATAAATATGTTAATTGTAATCAGGGTTGTCGAATTTCGTCTCACTCTCTCTTTATTTGGTTGATACTGATTTTCATCAATTTGTATGCGATTTTCTTCAATTTTAATTTTATGAATTAGAAAGAAATTTCATTGTAAAAATTTATTTTATAATCGTCAACGCATTAAGGTCATTTGTTATAAGTATTTTTATGCACGTTATCTATGAGGTTTATCCATAAGTTGCACGCTCAAACGATGAAATTAAGATATTCGACATATATTGTAAAGTAATAATACTTTACTATAATTAGACAAAATGAAAACCAATAAAAAAAAATGACATAGCGAAACCCACTTAGCAGATAAGATTACATAATTTTGTCAATTGTAAAAAAGTATGCTAATAATTTTAAAATGCTCTATTCAATCTTCTTTTAAAGAAACTCGTTTATATAAATAAAGAGTTAAACTATTTATTTAATATACATTAATCGCAATTGTATTGTACACCATATATTAAAAACTATTTGAAATAGCTGTACATTAAAAAGTGTAAATATGATGCAAAACATATAATGTAGAGAATTAATATTTTACTGAAATGAGAGAAACAAAGGCAAGGAAAAAAAAGTAATATAACAAAACCTGATTAGTAGATAAGATTGCAGAATTTTGCCATTTATAAAAATTATGATAATGATTTTTAATTGATATAAATAATATTCTTATAAAGAAACTCGTTTATATAAATAAAGACTTAAACTATTTATTCGGTTTACACATATCAATAATATGTTACAAATGAAGACTCTATTCATCTATTTAATTTTAATAGGATATTATGGTATGTTCGTTTAATGATTTTAAAAACTATTCAACCCATTTTATTTTATATTCATTGTATTCATATCTGCATGAAGTATGTATGAGGTGATAAGCGTAGATGGGTATTATTGTAGTATTCATACATCAATCAAGTAAAATATTATTATACCCCAATATATTATACATTTAGTTTGTTTGTAAAATAATATACTAATCATACAAAATCGCATGCCGTTACTAAATAAATCATTTATTTGGATAATTTAATTTATTAAATATTTATATTCGTTTATTTAGAACATTTTTTTTTTTTTTTTTTTTTGACTACTCTAGACTTATTTAAAAGCTAAAACTATCAAGCTGAACTGTAATTATTATAATATAAAATAATTTCATGTGTTATTAATTAGCCTAATGAATAATATTAATTATTTTTAGTTTAAATGCTTTTAATTTATAATTAAAGATGATTATGATTATTTTCTTATTTTATTAAATCAAGTTATTAAAACAATTAAAAACAATTTGTCATTATTTATTCACAATGACATTTTCTATAATTATAGATCGTGTTGGATTGCGAATATTGAGTTGGAGGGGAAATTAAAGATAAAAAATGAATAATCTTACTGAATAATTTTAGTTTTAATAATTAAATTTATCCTATATGGAGTCATACTGAAAAGCAATAAACATTTATAAATATTGTAACTTGTTACTAAATTACAATTTTATTAAGTTTTTAAGCTAATATCGGATATCAGTAAATTTATAGCCTTATGAAAAATTTGTAATGGCCTGTTCTGTATTTTTCATCGGAATAATTAAGAAAATTATTTATAAAATATATATATAGCAAAAAATTGATTAATTATATGTTGGTACACAAATTATATAAGTATGCAGTATAAATATAATAAAACAATTATAATAATTATATAAGTAAATATATAATAGATAAATAAAATAATTATTTTTACATATAAATAATTGTACTATTGATACAATTTTTTTTTTTTAACGATAAAAATCAATCCTCGCTATCTTCTTGCGAATGTTTACTCCTCTTTAAAGTGTAAAAGAAGCGCAATCAATGCATAAGAGTGAAGTGAAGAGATAATATATAGAGAAAAAAGGAAAACACAGAACAATGCTTTCCCACGGGAGGTGTTTATAGTTTGTAAAAGCATGTGTACTTAGAAAAGGTTTTTTCTATTTTCTGTAGAAATTCCAGGCGGTATTTTAAGTTTACGAGAGCCAATCATCGGCCAACGAATAGTTGGAGGAACAGAGACGGATATTCGTCACCATCCTTATCAAGTGACTTTGCAGTATTCGGGAATGCACAATTGTGGTGGTTCAATAATTAGTAAAAAATGGATCGTTACAGCTGCTCATTGTATTAGGTAAGTGTATATTTCCATGAAAAAACTAATAGTGTCATATTATAAAATTTTATATTAATTTTAATAAAGGCTTCCATTGATTTTTTACAGCATTTCTGGTTATACTTATACTGTAGGAGCTGGAAGTAATCACAGATTTAATGGGAAATTGTACAATGTCTCCCGTTTAGTTCCACATCCGAATTATGTATTGTTTGGAAATGATTACGATATTGCTCTTATAAAAGTAAGTTATATTAAGAACCGTACGTTTTATTTAGTTCAAATAATTCTGTGAAACTAATTTATAAACAAAAATTTGTTGTGTTCTACAGATTGCAGAAAAATTTAAATATAGTCCTAACATAAAACCAATTAAACTGCCGAAAAGGGAATTGAAACATGGAGAAACAGTAAATGTAACCGGTTGGGGTTTAATTACGGTAAGAACTACAAAATAATATGGAAAAGCTTTTAATTCGTATTTGACATAATATAACAAATTAAAATAAATGAAATATCAACAAATGAAAACCAAAAAAAATAATCTAGAGGTCATGGACATAAAAAAGGACATCTGGAAATTTAAAAAAAAACTTAAATTTATTTTATATTTATTTCTTAAATGAACAATATTATTCGAATATAAATGGTAATGTATTTCGTAGAATGAATTTCAAAGTAAAAATTATAATATAAAAATAAAGGGTTCTCCATTAAAGGCTGTTTTACTTAGGTGTTCTATAAGTATAAAATTTCAATGAAATATTCATTCGGAAAAAAGAAAGCTAAAAAGTTTGATAATCTCTTTAAGAATATGTGTGAGAAGTTTAAAATTGATCGGTTGAAATCTTGAACTGAAGGAAACTTCCGTAGTTCAAAAATATAAGTTTCGAAATATGTCTATTCAAATATTTAATATTCAATGTAACTGGCATCAAAAATTGGTTATAGTACAGTTTGCAACTTTTCTCTATTGAAATAATGACTTAAAATTTCCCTCAACCGTTTTCGAATGCAAAAGTTACAATAAATAAAAAGTTATTGACTTTTAACAACTATCAATACAACTTTTTTTTTTTTTTAATTTATACTAATATTTTATAATACTTACAATAGAATAAAAAAAATCAAAAGTCATAAATATGAATAAAGAATCAAATTAAATATTATAAAATACTAAAAATATTAGCAGGAATATCCTTACAAAATTTCAAATTACAAAACGACAATATTTTATAATTTCATTGCACAATGCAGCAACTCATAATATAAGTGTCAATCAACTAATTTCTAATTTCTCAACTAATCAATTAATCAACTACTCGAACTAAGTTCTTTTAATTTATTATTAGATGGTTATTAAATCTTCTATTTTCATTATGCTCATGTTTTAATACTTTTGTTAATAAATTAGAAATTCATCTTTTTGTTTTAATCTATTTGAAAGCAATTATTTTATTACTAAATGTGATGAATATTTTACTAAAGTATAGCATATGTTTTTATAAATTTATTAAATCTATTATACACACACGCGCCCGCGCGCACACACCCACAACCACACACACACACACACGCGCACACACACACACACACACGCCACACACATATATATATATATATATATATATATATATAGAGAGAGAGAGAGAGAGAGAGAGAGAGATAAATGTGCATAAAAAGGCTTTATTATATTTCTTAACCAATCAACTCATTAATCAATTTAAAATAATCTTTATAAGATTTAATAGAAATTTTTATAATCATATAAATAAAATCAATAGTTTCGGAATATTCAAAACTTATATAAATTAATAAAATATTAAAGAGATTTTTCATTAATTGTTTTACAACTTAACCGAAAATTAGCCTACATTTAGTTAATGATCTGAGTTTTTGAAGTTAATATTCCTTAAATATAGGTTCATAACATGGAGTATATATATATACATATGTGCCTGTGTATTGATATGTATATGTATATATGCACATGCTTATATTCCTGACGTAATTTAACGTAATTTTAACGTCAATTTCTGTTTTAAATAACATTTTTTTGAAATATTATTAATTTTAATTTACGATTTTATGATGAGAGTTTGGATCAGTAATATATATATATATATATTTTTTTGTTTTTGTTTTTTTTTGTTTTTATTAAAATTCATGAAGGGACGTTATTCATTTATTGGAACTTATCTGAAATTTAATTTGATGTAACTGTTTTGTCGTTTGTACCGTATAAATGATCATTTTTACACAGCTAATTACTATTTATTCTTGTTCGAAAAAGAAATAAGTGAGTATATAAATATTGCAATATATTTTTATTTTATTGACATGTTTTATACTGGCTGTAGAGTAATTATAAATAACGTCCTAATTGTGGTTGGAAAGTGAAATTTCAATTTTTACATATACACTTCATCACTGCATTTCGAATAGTGACAATTTATCTGTTATTATCTATCAAAGTACGCTCAAGTTTTAGCGATAATGGAATAATTATTGCAAAAAATTATAATAATGTAGTATAATATAAAAACTACTTCTTTTAATTGATAGAGCGTGTATTTTATAAAATATTGCAGGAAGGTGGATCGGACACGGATATTTTGATGAAAGTGACTTTACCAATTGTTAATCGTAAGTTATGCAAATCAGCCTATAAGCACATCAATCTCATAACAAACCGAATGATTTGTGCCGGACGCCTCGGAAGCGGCGGCAAGGACTCTTGTCAAGGCGATTCTGGAGGTCCATTGAGCGCTAACGATACTCTTTACGGCATCGTATCCTGGGGATATGGCTGCGCGCGACCAAATTATCCTGGTGTTTATACGAATGTCGCCTATTTCAGAAGGTGGATCGCCAATATCACTGGAATTTAATATCTTGTGCATGACAATTACTTTTATATTTTATAATGTTAAACGTTTGTAAACTCAAATGCTAATGTAAGCGTGTCGTTATGGAAAACTTATAATCTGTCTATTTATGCTGGCGTGCTTCAAAGTGAGAAGGCAAAAGAAAGAAAAACCCTACAAAAGTACTTGACTAGCAGTAGCAAAGCTCTTTACTATAGTTTCTGTTGGAGTTTGCCACTCGCGCAAGTTGTACTGAACGAAGATGACTAGTATCAAAAGAAAAACTTACATAAATATCCGAGAACATGACTAAAACTTATCTACTTTTTTCCCTCAAAAGAGAAAGATAATAACGATTTTCGAGGAAAATTTGTATCGTTAGCTCAGCCCATAATTTATAAAGTATATACTTTTTTTTTTTTTTAATTTCATTTATGGGGCTTTGACGAAGTCGTGAATATCGCGAAAACCATCTGGAGTGGATAAATATGGCGAAGCATATGATAAATCAGTGCGATACAGAATAGACGAGGAATATATATATAATCGGGGATGGAGGGCGTATTTGTGAAGACAGGGCTCTATCAACTTAACACAAAAGTATTATATGTCGAGTTCTTTATCTGCTTTATACTTCAAGCCTGTTTGATAGTATTTTTATCTGATCCTAGATGGCGGATGAGCAGACAAGTTTTCCTCGTTGAATCGTCAACATGTCCAAGCTCGTACCCATTGTCTTCCATATCCTCTCGTGCGAAAGTGGAAAGTGAGTTATAGTTCAAGTGATCGAACGCAACAGTCTCCTTTCCTACATCTTGTATAAAATATTTTAAATTTCAGTCTACGATATGTCTTGATCTATGTTTATCCAAGAATACTTTGGAGAAAATGTATTTATATTTTCAGCTTTCCTTCACCTGTAAGGAGACTTGCCAACAACCATTTAAAGATGCACGTTTGAATACAAAAATACATTTTTATGAAATTTAATTAAAAAAATAGCTATTCCATAGTTTTTTTTATCTACTATTATTTCTAACTGAAATTAAAAATGTTAACTGACGCTTTAGTATTCAATTATTAAATATTATTTATTATTTTTATTAAAGGATTTCGTGTTACCTTGTGCTTCAAATACTTTTATGGAATTGTCATTATAAAATTGATAATTTTCTCGTCATTGTTCGGAAAAGGCAATTCCAGTATTTTCAGTTACAAACAAATTTTGGCATTTAAACTTTGTAAAACCATTTAATGCCTGTATTTCTAAATTTCAGCTATCGACTTGTTTCATTCAGATAAACAGGAATATAAAGCATAATATTTCCCGCGTTAATTAAGTTACATTCAACCAGAAAATGAATTAATTTAACGTTGGGAAATAGCGAACTTGCTTTATGTACCTTGATGTACGTGCGTATGTACAACTATTGCAATAGTTGCCTTTAACCATAATAATTTTATGATATTTGAAAATAACGTTAGAGAAAGCGTTGTATATTTATTGAGATTTTACAAGTTAGGCTAAGATAATTAACACGATAATTAAAGTGTGCAATGTTTGTGCAATGCGACTTATTAGTTGCAACGCTCTATTTGTTATTTTTAACATTTTACTATTATTTGCAAATAAAATGTCAGAGGTAGTCGTAATCAATATATAATATTATTCATTATGCGGTGTCCTACAATTTTCTATAAAATAAAGTATTTTTGGTATGATAAACTTTTCCGAGTATGTACAAACTCTATGCTTCTCTCGTATATTTTCGCTATTACAGTAGCGCAAAACTTTTTTAATATCTGAAACAACTCAAGTATCACGTTTCATATGAGTAATTAAACTTTTTGCACTACATTTTCAATATGCAGTATAAATGCCAAATAATGAAAAAATGTTCTTACTGAAGATAACTCTTAAATACATTACATTTTCTCAATTTCACATACTTTTAAATAACTTAAATTTTAACCATTATGTTTTACATAAGTTTACAATAGCAACAAAAAATAATATTAAAGCAAATAGAAAGGGAAAATTCATTATTCATGATGCATAATAAGAAGCCTTACGACAATATATACTCCAATGAATATCTTAATTTTTTACAAACCTTTGTGCAACTGATTTTATACGATATTTAATATTTCGAAAAAATACCGATACTTTTATCATAATGCAAAGCCAACAATCGATAACATAAATCTGTTAAATTGTCCAATTAAAGTGCTTAATAAATTTCAAAGCAATTGTCTCACTTCTAATTTTATGATTATTGGGTTTGCAAAACAACGCACAAAGTTGTAGCAGAGACTCAATGAGTATTCAGTTAGCACTGACACAAGTATAAATATCAAGACACGATGCTCTCGTTATTTCTGGTCGAATTTAATTTGGAGAAAAATCGAATTGTGCGTTGTCTGTGCAGGTGTCGGTGCGCGAACCTCGGCGACACGTGTGCAGCGGGGCCCTGGTGCACTACCACTCGATAATAACTGCCACCTCCAGTATTTATGAGTGTGCTCTCTTACTCCGCTTGTCGATAAGAGCATCTCTTCTCCGTGCCCCTTGTTTATTATACAGCCGGGACTTTGCATTCCCCTTTGAATTTTATAGCCATTATAATGCCGCGCGCCCTCCCTTAGCGCTCTATTCCACAAAAACAAACAACAATTCCGAATGCATTGCTCGACCAGCTCTATTTCACCTTTATACATTCAATGAGGCGGAACAATTATTTTTCACAGCTTGAGAGTGGCGAATATCACAGCACTCCTCGGCTCTATCCAATCTGCAAAACGTGCCCACGACTGCTTAACAACTGAAATTCTCCAAGATTGTCGGCCATTCAATTTTTAATACTCTTCTCATCGCAAATAATATTGAATTGCGCCAGTAGGGCGCAAATGGATATCGAACGCTTTTATTAAAATTAAAATCATCTGCAGTGCCCGATTATAGTAAATGGTATTCGACGTTTGGCCGTCTTAATTTGTCGATCATCCAAATTTGTGGATTAATGGGATTGAGATTTTTCAAACATTCATCTGGCAAATACGTTCGGAATAAAATGATTGGACTCCTACTTTATGCGAAATACGAAATTTCTACTATTTCCCGTTAGCAAGTAAAATTTTAACGCTTTTATCATTGTGTATTGTTGCAATGGTAATTCACCTTAGTGCAAATATATAATTCATCGTTAGGTGGAGAAATTACAAAGGTAATTGTAGCGAGAAAATCACACTTAATCACGCGCTAAATCATTCGGCACTTTCGTTTTTCACCAATTTTTAATTTCTAATTTCAGGCCACCTTTTACACTTTCTAATATAAGATAATATTAGAATATAAGATAGATAATATAGAATATAAATAATATAAGAATTATAAGAATATAAATTGACTAAGCTTTATCATAATTTTACGGTAGAAAATATTGAATATTCCCTTTAATATTAAGCGTATGCCGAGAATTCAATCAACATTCGTGTAAAACAAAGAATCAAGCCAAATTATCAATTAAACTAAGCAACTTTCACTGCAGCATTTCTCTTTATGTGTCTTTAAAAGCCGCATTTACGCTGAGCGAAAAGCCACAATAAAAGGATAGAAATTTTTGTATCCGTTCTTGTTGTTTTTAGAAATTGAAAGCCGTTGAAGCTTATATTGTACATGAAAGCATCCGTGCTTTTTCCTGGGACGTTATAGGAGGGAAAAATTTGAAGCCAACTAACATCAAATGCGTGTACGTGATATATGTCACACGCCGAGGTAAGCGTTGTTTTGACCTTTAACTGCACATAAATAATCTGTCTATTCGTCGGTGCGTTTTATTTTTTATGAATTTCGATGGAAAAGCGTGGATGCGCAAGTGTAATAAAAATCTTTATGCCTCGAACAGCGCATAAAGTACGCGTCAGTCCTCGCGGACTCGGCACCGCTTTCAATATTTTTCCCGGGCGCGGAAAATTATCATCCGAAGGACGGTAACGAGCTCCCCGTCAGCGATCGGTTAAAAAACGCAGGTAAGCGGCGCGAGGAGCGCCTAGTCAATAAATAAAAGCTCCTAAAGAGGCTGAAAGACAAAGGGAAATAAAAGCGGGAGAGCAAAGGTAATAAAAATAAGCGGTAAAAGAGCTCGACGGGAGCTTGACTCGTGTGCTCACGAGCGCCACGCGCGATAGTATCGGAGAGACGACCTAGTCATAACCATCCAGTGGACGTTTTCTCCTCTATTTTGTTATTCTGCGATCTCCACCTCTACTCCCACCCCCGACTCCGCTCAACCCGCCTCATCCACCCCTCAACGTCGCTATCCCCAACCGCGCCGCCCACTCTTTTTTTAGCCCACGCACGCACACACGCACGCATAAGGACCGTCGCGGCTTTGAATCGCAGCTGAGCGTGACGGGGCCGCCGCTCGTAAATCAACGCACGTGCATCCGCTCGATGCCCAGCTATAAAGCAGTCTCGGGAAAAATGCTCTTTGCCGGCTACAGCCATCCTAATGCCGACGGGACGTGCCAGGTGAGTCGGCCAAGCCCTCCAGCGATATGTCATTTATCTTGAAGCGAGAAAGCGCCCTGAGCCCTCGACTCCTTAGAGCGGAGAAAAGGGTAAGAAAGCCCCGTGGTTCTTTACCGAAAAATTGTTCGCCTCCTCGCGGTGAATCGCCGCTCCTTCTGTTACGAGTCTTAGTCGGTTCGGCTTGCTACGTCAGACGACACTGCGAGAGCGAGAATAATTTAGGGCCCCTAGCGAAAATATATATTTCATATGAAAAATTCACGCTTTCATTTATCCTCTAATGCTAGTTATCGACTTGGCCATATGACCAAATGTTTTTCCTATCACTCTTAGATGATTATGACATCATTACGATAATATAACCGGTCCCGATTCACGTACCGATACTACCGGAGGATTTTAGATAATTACGAGTCCACGCAATCCCCTCTCCCGCACCCATTAACCTTCCGACAGCCACCATATAACTTCGATCTCGATATCTTCACATCAC